GTGGGGGAAGATATTAACCGTTGACACAGTTGCGCTACTACAGTCCACTATTCACAAATTATCTGTAAAATTATACTCGTGGAAGATTTCCCTTTTATCCATCCCATTAGCGTTGCCACTCAAGCTCCAGACCTTTTCAGCAAGACGAAATCAACTCTGTGCAGAGGTTTATTACAAGATGGTCTACCTTTCACCTATATTCACGAGTTATTCGAAGGGTTATCCCCAAAAGCATACCAGTGGGAATCACTGAAAGGGGGACAAGATTCGTACTAATTTAAATAAATTGCGACACTAGCGACTAGTATCTCTTTAACCAACTGAAGTAGCGTCATCTTTTTCCCTCATTTAAGGCGAGTCCACAGCTTCTATAATAAGATACACAATACCAGGTAATTAGAATTATTAGAATTATGGCCTGTGCCTGAACTTTGGCTCAAGTTATCTTTAGTATGTTCGGTTTAAATTTTTGTTTCTAATCTCGAAACTTGTACAGGATTTTCAAGGAGACATTGACTTATCAAAAACAATAGTTCAAGAAACAGTTACACCCCCATGGACCAGAAATCTTCCCTTCTTCAATACCGATCTATGTAAATATAAAATGGCAGAAACGCCTAATTCAACACTTAAACAGTCCTTGACCTAAAACCTTGTGTTACTCATAACATGTGCCAATGGCCAATGGTTGTCGAGGCACTCAAACCCAATTTTTAAAAAAAATCGGTTTGCTGCTCATTTTATTGTTGTATTATTCTGAGGGTAAACTAAATAAAGCTATTGTTATTATCATTGATCAGTTTTATGTTTAAAACAAGAGGTGTCGTAATGTGGCGATTCCGCTCTTTTATAAATACATCTTCCATCTTTGAATGCTACACTACGCTACTGGGTAGCATTTGCAGAATGTGTACTCCATGATAGTCCGATGACTGATGTAAGGCCCCGACGAACGAAATTATTTTTCTTACTCCCTTGGGAGGCCGTTTATAACCTCGTACCTGCAGAACGGAGTGTTAAAAAACAAAATGTTTTTTAGTGCACTTTCTATCATAAAAAATATTATTTTTTTGGTATTTGCAACATTTTCAATTAACTACATGCGAAATTAGATCACTCTCTAGTAGACGGGGGACACTGTAAACCGAAGGCCCAATCTTCAAATGAGTATAACTTTTGTTGAATGAAGGAATGAAGAAGTGCAGAAAGACAGTACTATAGAAACTGTTTAAGGAAGTTGATAAGGTCTTTGACTTGAGTACATTTGAATTTGTTCTTCATGGAAGATTCCTACTCCATAGTTATTTGGCAGACAACTGTGTCAACAATTTGTGATGGTTACCTACGTTAAATTTCTGAAGACGCATTATAATGGGAGAGGTTGTACAGTGGTATTTGATGGGTATACCGACACATAAGGAAGCACAAAGGCTCTTTCTTTCCCACTTTCATAATAGAGTCACCTGATACATCTGCTGATGATGCAGCTGCAAAAAAATGAGATAAAGGCCTTCCAAGCTTCATGTGATGCTATCAACAGATCACAAAGTTCGTCTGTAGCTGTGGATTTGGCTGTTCTCTTGGTAGCCAAAACTCCAACTGATTGCGACTTTCTGTTGGTAAAACCTGGAAGAGGAAAGGTGAGTACTATTGTTTATTCCTCACAACAGCTGCAACAGGAGTTGAAAATGGAGAATAACGCCTATGTCAAAATATACCTGAAGTCCAGAATGATAGTACCGCGTGCAGCTAAGATATTTACCAGCGGTTATTCTTCTCCAGATTCCATTGAGACAGTTGGAATCAGGAGTGCTCTCTCATGGTATGGCGCTGCAACCACAGAAAAATCCCTCACTGAGTTACAACTGTAGACATGAAGCCTGATCTCTCAACTCTCCCTCCAATTGAAGGAGCATGCATTCCGAACGTACCACCAAGTGCAGCTCTGGTTAGGGTGCGAACCTAATGGTGGGGCGTTGAACTGATGTTGAACTAGTCCCGAAACTCTGTTAGATGCTGCCCCTGATGAAATATTAAAAATGATTTGTTGTCGATGTACAAAAGGATGCAATAGTGGCAGAAAGTGTAGAAAAGCATCGATAAACTGCTTTGTCGCATGTTCGAATTGCAAGAGCATCCGCACCAATGAAGTAGGTATGTGATTTCATTATACAATTCATAATTATATATTAAAAAAGTTATAATTATAAAAAAAGTGTTATGTCCATCTTATTTCTATTGTTAAAATGTTCATAATATATCTTCAATATGCTCATTTCTACAGAAATATCGAAATGGAGCGTATATGTTTGAAATTCCATAACTTTTGATTGGCTGAAGACGAGGTTAAAGGTAAATTAGAAAAAGTTTCCAAAGGAAACGCAAGGTGTACAAATTTTGGAAAAAATAGTTAGGTAAAAATAATGTATGGAAATAATTTTAACTCTCCCCCCAGGGGCGGAGGCTTTTAGTATGTTTAACTACTTACTACTCCTAACAAAGTTCTGCAGTTTGTCATAAATATTTAATGTATTCTACACCTACATCTTGACTGAACTAAATACCTATTTTATACAGATTCTGCCTCGGATTCTGCACAAATAAGTATGGATGGCATTGCTATACAGGCGACGGCAGTGTCAAAAGGATCGACCTTTAAGAACAACTAAGGTTGAAATTGGGAGATGCAAACATCCAAATATGTATGGAAATAATTTTATATGAAATTTAATTACCTTTTATTGTAAAATGTAATGTAAAACAATATTTTCTACAGTCCACAAGTTATAATTAAAAAGCCCAAAAATGGCACCTAGACTCCCCCTCCCATCCTTAGCCCCCCCCCCCTCCCAGGAGCGGGGACTTTGAGTAAGTTGTACCTACTAACACAGATTTAAATAATTACACTATTTAGTAATAATAATAATAATAATATATTTATTGAGTTATTGTGTGGGTACACTTACACTCTAGTCAACTCTCATACATATGTAATTAACAGACACAAAGGCATATAAAAAGTACATACCACTACAACAAAGAGACATGCATATTCCTTACTAAATTCTGCGACAGTGACTTATAAACTCGTCAAATAAATAGAACGCATTTTCTATAAGTACGTTTTTGATAGAAGTTTTAAATAATTTTAAAGAAAGTATTTTTATATGTGCGAGAATACAATTATACAATACCTGTGACTGATAAGTCAAACCATTTCGAGTGTTTGTTAGTCTACAAAAGGTAGCCTTATGTTGTCCTTTTGCCTGGTAGTAGTATATTTAAATCTGTGCTACTAACTACACCTATAACAAAGCGTTGAAGAAAAAAGGTCTCGCATATTCCATGCACTCTATCAATATATTCAATGAATGGACTACTGAACACTGAATGGGAGAGGTCGTGGCCTGTGAAAATGTTAAGAAATAATTTTGAGTGAGTAGTTGTAGAGCAAGAGTAAGTGAACTTCTTATTAGCTTCAGTATTTACTTGTGTTTCTGCTTTAAATATAACACTATTTGGCATTTAATATCTCATGTACCTACCTACAGTTTATTATTATGTTTCAATAAAGCTTATCTACTCCCCAGAATTTCAAAGTCCCATTTATTAATAGTCCCCAACAAATCACCCCTCTAGTGTTACAAATACTCCATCATATTATCCATTCGAAACAATTTCGATGAGGTTCGAAAATCCATACCAAATGAATCCGATAGGTCTTTTGACGCAAGCAAGAGCACAGAGAAAATACAAATAATTGAACTGATCAAATAAATAAGGTTTCGGCTATTGCCATTGCCATGGTTAGTGCACATAGCGAAGGCAACAGTTTTAGATAGTAAGGGGATTCTGTAGATTTAGTGTATGATAAAGGGAACTACAATTAACGACAATAGGAAGAGACCATGAAAAACCCTAAAGCTGTGCCATTCGAGAGGAAATACCTCAGCATAATGCCGATGGCAACAAACTGCTACACAACAATTGCGGGGTTCACAAGGCCCAAAAGGTTCCACTAGTTATCGATGAATGTGACTACTTACCAAGAATTAAAACATCCGCTTATGGTCCGGACTTAGCACCCTGCGGCTACTTTTCGCCACGTTAGAAAAACACTTACGAAGAAGACAAAGATTTACTTCTGATTGTAACGTAGTTGTTAGTACCTATTTTTTTTCTGCTTACTGCATAAACGGTGGGCTAAATGTGTAAAATATGAAGGTGCGTATGTAGAAACATAAATTTTGTTTTACCTTAAATTACTTTTCTTTTAGATCTAGATAGATAACAGAATAATGTCCCCTTGTAGTAATGAAAGTGATGGTACTCTAGACATAGTTTATCCTTTGAATTCGACACCTAATTCTTCATTGTCTACTTTCCCCGCTTTATGGTAGGAAAGAAAAGGTTAATATAACTAGAAATTATGTGCTAAGAAATGTTGGCATATCATTTATTAAATTTTCAGACCCAAGTTAATTACGTAGCCTAGAGAAAACGCTCCGCATGTTCCGTGCCATTTATTAGATAATTACCTAAAATTTAATTGTCAGCCTGACAACATAATTTCATTATACTTCATGATATGAGCATATGCAAACGAAACGGATAACTGGATAACGTTACCATTTTGAAAGTTTGTAGACATTCAAATGTTTGATAATAGAATGAAAACGTCACGAAGTTGTTAAAAAGAAAAATTTTTAAATCACTTAAGTAATCGATATTGAGTCAAGTTAATTTAGTAACCGCCTACAAAACTCGTGTTTATTTTGTAGATTAAAATAGATTTGATCTACACTCTGAAAGCTTATCAATCAAACGCTCCCCTAGCGTTTTAGTAATGCTTGTTTTTACTATGGTTTATAGCTTTTGCGACCATCTAGTATAATACCCGCAATTTCCAAAAAAACCGTTATAATTTATAGTGCTATTAAAAAGTACAAAATATTATACTGATCAGAGCAAACACAAAAATAAATAAGTAGGAGACATACCGACTAGAGAAAACTGGTAGTTTCTAATCACACGCAACAATAGTTTATGCGTTGTAAACGCTCGAAATATAATCCAAAACCCGCCAAATTACGTTTCCTTATCGTACATGCCACTGACTGAGGAAGCTTTTTCAGCGTGCCGCGAATATCCTGTCGATCCTGCGCATTTAAAGATGGAAACACCTAGAACGTACACGCACAGGTGCATTAGGAAACATACAGATTCGATAAAGGCTACATAAATCGGCCGTAACGCTTCCCAGATTAATATAATGCGTTTGAAATTGTTTTGTCAACTTCACTTACGCAATATACAAACTTACTCAATGTGGAAGTGAGAGAGTGGTAACATCATTACTTTCAATAAGGTTCATTTTAAATTCGCGGTTGAAAACGTAACCGGCAATATTAACATGTACCGCAGGACTAAATATAGACGTTCCAAATTCATTTTTAAAGGCATTTTTAATTAAAAATGTTTAACAGTACCTACAAATGTTACTGTAATTATATAAGTGGAAATACTGCAATATTATTTCAAGGTACTTAAAATCTGAAAATTAAAAATAAAGAAAAGCTCTCATTTTTCCATAGGTGGGATATTGGCAAATTTTCCACAGATAAAAATATAAAATTCATTTGACAGGTTTAACAATGGAGAGGTTTTCACTGACTTAATTTTTGTTTAATCGCCACCTAGCAGAAAAGCTTCCATCAGCCATTAGAATATTCCATTTGTTGTCGCAGACTGTGTAGCTTTTGGTCGAGCAATAAAAAATCATATTTCCGTATAATTTTAAATCACCCATACACAACTTAGATTAAAAGATCCAAAGGACACCAAATACTAGAAACTATACAAGATCGGTTTCATTGACAAAAACCGTTATAATTTATAATCAGAATGTTTAAGACATTCCTTGCTCCAACTATCAAACTTATCGATCAATTCATTGGACATTTCCGTTTTGTATCCTCCAACTACCCCTCGTCTTAAATATGCATCTGCATTAAAAAAGTCAATTTGATTGAGGGCATTGTTGTTTTTGAACGACCCAAAGTCCAGGTATCTTTGCAACTCCTCCTCCTGTTCGATCGTCAAAACTTTGCCAAGAAATTCGGCCACTTTCCGCATAACCGCCCTCAAATCTTTCTTCATTTCTTCGTACGTAATAAACAAAATATTATCCTCGTGGCGACGGTTCCAAAAGTACAGCACATTCTTCCAATAATCTCCTTTGGGAACTAAAACATAATCTTTGTTTATTTTAAATAAGACTTATTTCTGGTTTTAGACCATATGCGCAATAGGAAAGTTTTATTATCGAAAATTGTGAGTTTGTTAGCAATGGACGATCAAGTATATGGTGTTAGACGGTTGACCGTAGTAACACAGTAACGTCTTGCAAAGTTATCTAGGGTTATAAGAAAACTTTTAGAATATGTCTTTTATGAGTTGTGGTTTTCTTTGTGATTCTTGTGTTTATAATGTAACTGTGCACATACCTTTTTAGCACTTTTAGCACCATTGTATACATACGTAGTGGCTATAAAGTAATATTGCAAGCTATTATAGAAACTGATAACACTTAATGTAAACTTGGACTACTATAGGAGGGTGCTGTGAGTGATATTCATGACCGACATTAAAATAGAATAAAATTGGAAATTTGGAATTGTGGTTACAATTGGATACCATGAATTTTGAGTTACTCTTAATCATAAATTCAGTTTAAATTGGAGGGTGCAAATGTTGAAACTTGAAACTTGAAACTTTGACATATGCCTGGCGTCGCCGCCTCTCCCAGGATTTAGTCACCTGTCGTGAGGATGCGTCCCTGGTAGGCACTATCATGGACGTTTCTCCACTACTTTGTTGCTATAATGTTAAAATTCCGATAACAGATTCAGATTCTCCGAAAAAAAATTCCATAGAAGGGCGGGTTAACGAAAACCGTTCGACTGTTTAAGCTGGGGAAAATGAAAACGAGATTTGACATTTCAATTTTTTTGCGATATCTCAGTTATTTTCATAGATTTTTCAAATATTTCAAATTCAAATTTTAGTCACAAAAAGAAGCAATTTTAATTTACGGAAATCCCAATGGTGATCCACGAATTTTAACCACCCTGTACATCATATTTAGATACACCTTGTATAAGCCATGATATTTCGCAGAGCCACTGAGATTACACCGCATAAGTTGAACAATAGTCAATGTTGTGTTTTTAGGGGATTTTTTCGAATGAAATTCGCCTTATGTGTATTGTCCGTCCTATCCGTTCGTCTGGCCGTCGGTTTCTCATCTAATTCGAGAACGAAGAGAGAGCGATGTGAAACCTTTGCCAATCGATGCCCACGTGCCAACAGAGTGTCAAAAAATTCCCCCACTAAAATCGTATGGGATTCTTCGTATCTTGTTCATATTTGCCTTCTTGGTACAGAGCTTTAGAGGTAATGATGAGTAAGAGTCAAAACGTTAGCATCTTGCATCGAAGCGTTGCAAGTGTAGGTACCCAACAAGACAATTTCTGTTTTGAAGAAGATGACCCTAGCGCAAAACTTAGTTTCTATACCTTTCGTTTCTCTGTCTTTTTTTCTATTGATATTTACGCCCACAAGTTAGTTCTATGTGAATCCAGACTTTCATTAGATAGATACTTACATGAATCCGACATGAAAACTTCGGCATAGCTCTCCAGGGATTCAAATTCGCACTTCATAACAATTCTTTTAAAATGATATCCTGACAAGCAGACATCCTTGGGGTTGCGTGCAATGTAAATAATCTAAAAGGTAATATAATTAATGCGATGTTAAAACTCCAAAAATACCTTAGTTTCCTTTTCTTTATCAAACAGTTGCCGTGGTAGATATTCTTCTGGTAAATGCGTTTTAATTATGCGTGGACTTTTTAAGTTTTTACAAAACTCTATTGAATTAGGCTCGTACCGCTCTTGCATATGATAAGACTGAGAGCCCGGTTTGCTGCACAAATAAACACTATATCTGTAAATCGGTACTATAGCAATTATTGATTATGGATTTAAAGTAGTTACTCCAGAAGTGGAACCCGATAGTACGCCCCCTCTTTAGCTTTCTCATAATCCAAATCATTTGCAATCAACCAAACCATTTCCTGCACCCACATGGTACCTAAACTTTTACAAAAACAGTATAAAATGCACCAACTGATGCTTGGGCATTTACCCGATCTTGTCGCTCCAATTACAAAAATGTCGTCATTTTTAACTTCAAACGGTTTGATTTTGGCGCAAAGACTCCTTGCGGTTTTTTCACACAAATAAGGGAGATAGTTATTTTCTTCCATCGTGAGAGTTTCGATCTATAGTACCTTACGAATAAAATAAAATTTTTATTATTGTAAACGAGATTGTAAACGTATAATTTTTATTCAACGGTGTAAAGGAAAATGTTATAATATAAATGCAAATTGAAACTAAGGTGGACTGAAGAATGAAAGTACTCCCTGAAGTGGTTGGTTCCCTGAGAAGGCTATACAATATTATACCTATCTCTTGTTCAGATCAATTAAGAAGTACCAGAATGTACCAAGTTTCACAAAACAAAAATTTACATACAGCTAGCGGCCCTTTGATTGAAAACAAAATGGTTACTAAACAATACACCTCCTATACTTATTAAGTCCCTTTATTTTGTGTATACTGTGAGTACATCAGAATCACTCACAATTCATACTCATAATCAGAACATTTAATATAACCCGCACTCCAACTGTCAATGTTTGAAATCAATTCAGGTGTCATTTCCTTTTTGTGTCCTCCAACTTTTCCTTCCCTCACAAATTCATCGGTTTTAAAAAACGAAGCTTGGTTCACCGCGGTATTCTTTTGGAAAGACTCAATGCTTAACCACTTTAACAAGTCCTCCTCTTGTTTCGAGGTCATGGATTTACCAAGAAATTTTGTCACCTTCCTTATGACATCCTTTAAATCTTTCTTCATATCTTCATACCTAATGAATAAAATATTATTTTCATCCCGACGATTCCAAAAGTATAGGACATTTTTCCAATAGTCTCCTTTGGGAACTAAAACGGTATTGTAATTCTTCGAAGGAAAATCGAGTTGCTACGAGAGGGTATGTAGCAAGTAAAAAATGTACAAGCAATATTATTTAGTGCTGTGGGCTATTACTTACATGCGTCAGACATAAAAACCTCAGCGTAGCTCTCTAAGGATTTATAAGGAAGATTAAGAACGTTTGTTTGGAAGTGATAACCTGACAAACAAACGTCTTTAATATTGCGCGAAGGCAAAGTAGGTAATTAAGCAAGCTTAACATTTTGAGGAATACCTTTGCCTTCTTTTCCTTACTAAATAGTTGTTTTGGCAAATACTCTTGTGATAAATGAGTCTTAAAAATACGAGGACTTTTGAGATTTTTACAGTACTCTATTGAATTGGGTTCGTATCGCTCTGGCATATTAATTTGGGTGTTTGAGTTGCCGCATAAATAGACGCTGTGCCTACAACCTAAATCTCAACAACGATTACCGAAATAAGAAAAGAAAGTTACTCTAGAAATGGAACCCGCTTATAAGTGCATTCCTTAGCATTTTCATAATCCAAATCGTTAGCAATCAACCAAATCATTTCCTGCGCCCAGGTAGTACCTAAATACTTCTCGAGTTACAAATCATGTCACATCCTACTTGGAATATTACCGGATCTTGATCTTCCAATTAGGAAGATGTCGTCGTCTTTAACTTCAAACGACACAATTGTAGCGCACATTTTTTTCGCAGCCTCTTCGCAAAGATGTGGATCCTGCTTGGGTGTATGTGAAGGTCCGTCTTCCATCCTAAGATGATAATATAATATTTTATTCTTCGTAATTATTCCTCAGAGCAACGTATAGTGATTTTGGTTGGAATAAAAATTAGAGGTAAGTCCGTTCTAGATCTATGCATTTTATTACTTCGTTGCTACCTTTCTCCTATGGCCGCAGTGTAATTCAAACATTCAAATTCAACTTGGTGGAGAAGGATATGTAAATGTCAGCTCTGCGATAAATAAATGAATGATAATATGCGTAAAGGATTACTACAGATCGAAGAGAGCATATAGTGACGACCGCAATCTTAACAGGCTGACGATTCGAGGTAAATATATACACATTGCAGAATTTAGTCAGCAACATTGTAGTTGCAGGGATTTACGATCATCCTTCGATGCATGCTTCAAATGCATGTCAGAGTTGCACAAACTTGCACCAAGTACTGAGACTCTCTGCACTTATGAATATACATTCACAGAATTTGAACTGTAGGGACAGAAAAAAGACACACTGCACTGTGTGCAAAAGGTTGCAGCACCAGAATTCAAAAATTATAATTTTTGTATAAAAAATACCAACAATTACAATAGGTTGAAAAGCTAGCAATGTATTTATATGAACGCCACTATTTTCCTTTATTTTAGTAATTAAAATGTAAACGTTTTATGCTCTATGGTCTATATAGGTATCTAACATCAAGTTCCACTGAAATCAGCGCTGGGAAGTATTTCAAATTATACCTTAGTCTCGCCCTTAGTATTTAAATATTCAAAAGTATTTAAATGCTTGGTATTTAAATACATCTAGAGTAGTCAAATACTTTTGGGGCATTAAAATACGTTTGGAAAGTACCTAAGTACTTAAATGGTCTTAAACGATATAAATATTTTTTGAAGAATGTAAACAAAAATTTAGTATAAGACTCGAAAAACTCTTCCACGTTATGTAACTAGAGAGGCGTAAATTTACTAGAGCGCGTTCGCACCTCCAGATGCAGTATGGTGCTTATGGACATACAGTACTAGGGTGACCATACGTCCCGGATTTCCGGGGACGGTCCCTTGATTTGCAACCTTGCCCCCGGTTGAAAAATGTCCCCGGATTTCCAGTTTATTGAAAACGCTTGGCAACACGCAACATGGCAAAGCAAAGTGCTTTCGACGACTTTTTCCGGCGATTGCGCTCATGCGCTGTCAACAACGGTACTTCTACTTCAGTCTTTCAGTGATCACCAGTTGGAAAGGTTGTGTTGTGTAGTAGTTCTAGCTAGTTTTCAATTTCAATTACTTTAGGTATATAGTATAGCTAGTAAACAAACATACGGGTAACCGGTAAGTAGATTTGCAATGCTCTATTACAAGTACGTAAAAGTAAATACAAACAGTAATTTTGAAGTGTGAGGGTGTGGGTGTGATTTAATTATGGTTACACAAACACTCTTGTTTCAGGTAAAAACTAACTTTGGTGTCTCGTGCGAAGTCTTTCGGGAAAAGCTTGTAAAAAATGAGACTATTTTAAAGAAAATTCATTCGTCAGAAAAATATGTGCAGTAACATTTAACTAATCTAAGTATGCATTTAGTTCATAGTTTGATATGTAAATAATGTACCTACCAAAAAAGAAAAAAATGTATTTTAATTAGTAATGTACTATATAATATAAGTAATTATGTGTGCTTTTAATTTGAAGTGTCCCCAGTGAGCAAAATGGTAGGGTAGGGTAGGGGGCGATGGCTATTGAAATTGTTGTGTTAGCTAGCGTTAGGCTTATATTTTTCATGTTCTGTCATGTTTCAGTACTGGGGTAAAATGCATTCTGTAGGATGTTGCTAAAAAGTTTCACTTAAATAATGTTTAAGGGGTAATTAATGAAATTTCTCGACTGGAAGTGATAGATGAGCGCCGTCTTCTTGCGAAATATAGTCGATAAAATGAATGAATGAAAAAATTAACTCTTACTCTACAGTTCAGGCTTTCCTTAAACGTTAATCATTGTTTATTTTTATTCATTTATAAACAATGCGTGAATGTAATGATGTAGCTATGTAGCATACTCGTGCCCATACTGCATCTGGAGGTGCGAACGCGCTATACATATATATTCTTTATTGTAAGATGATATCGATTAATTCTTTTTTTCCACGCGCGAGGTATTGAATTTTATGCAGGGCGCCATTTTACTGTTTCGCCACGGGTATAATATTTTCTAGTTACGCCACTGAGCATCGATGGGAAAATGCGCTATAAAATAGATTCTACCATTAAAAAAAAAAGAAAACATTTAAAAAAAAGTAAATTTAAAACAGGTTAAAACTGTGCAAACATATATGGCATTCACAGGCCTCATTAAGTTCCGACAACTGATACTTCTCATTACGAGTAATTATGTAGGAAAATTGGGTACCTAACTATTTTATCACAAAATTGCATTGTAATTGAGGCCAATGTTCATAAACACAAATTCAGCCGTATTTGTTTTGTTGAAGACGCAGTTCGTCATTTTTTAGCGTCACTTTCTCTGTCGCATCGTCCGAGGACTCCAATACTTTGTCAATTCGGTAGCTTATAGCTCTGATCAGGGGCGGACTGGCCCAGCCGGGGGGGGGGGGGGGTATCGCCACCTGGTCTGTTTCTGTTAAAAAATTCTGTTTTAATTGAAGTGTTTTACAATGAATTTATCATTTTTTGTCGTAGCATGAAAGTGCTGAAATACAATCATAGGCGACGCACCTCGTGTGGATTGTATATTTTGTTACTTTTAATTATTAGCTGCAATTTAAAAAAACTGTATCTTAATTGATTTTCGAGAAAGGAGTACTTTAAAATGTTTTTGTGGTGCACCTCAGAGCTCCCCCCCCCCCCCCCGCCCCCTTCATTCATACTTAATACATACATATTTACATACATATTTAATGGCCCGTAACCTATGCAATTCCACCTGGCCCGTAAGTACCCAGTCCGCCCCTGGCTCTGATACTTCAGCCAAGAAAAATCTTGACGATTAATATGCGCATACGCAGGCTGTGCAATATCAAATTTCTTATTTATTAATATATTTTGTTGAATTTTTAACCACAGACACTTCTAGTATCGCATATAGTAAAAATTAGATGTAGTATACACACTACACAGCGCAAAATCAACTTTCTTATTTAGGGATTTATTTCTCTGAAATTTTAACCATAGATGCCTCTAGTAAAGAAAAATTAGCGCAGATTGTCCGGTTACGGAAAAAAATTCATTGAATTGGAAATGGAAGCGGTGTAGTACAGCGAGGCCTTTTGTTAAGGTGCTCTTCCTACCACCCGAATCACAAACCAGTTTTGTTATTCATACAATTTTGTGTTGAGAACCTGTCAGCGTTTGTGTGTAAGTTAAGTGCGCCTTATGTGGCTTATACTGTACGGGCAGGTTATTTGGATTGTGGAGAAAAGAACTGTATTTATATTTCTCGGAACAAAACTTCTCCCCAGCACAGAGGAGGAATTCGACTCTTTTCTCAGATAGTGGGTTAGACCAAATACCTTACATTCCAAATCAATCTCAATAATTTTGATTAAATAAAATGGACCTTGGGCAAGTATTCAAAGAAAACAGTAAATTATAGGAAATGAAATCGTTCGAAAGACAAGCACAGAAATTAATGTGAGAATTACAAATTTCAGTTTTAATGGTTACACAATAAAAAAAACAACAAGGAAAACAAACAATTATTACAAAAAAAAACTACAATTAAAACTTAATCTTACTTACATTCGGTATATGTCCAAACTGCTAATCCCAATACGTTACACACAAAAAAAAAACAACAAAATTCAAATTTACACAAAACAACACTCAAGTCGGCGCCGACACACCTTAGTGACGCACTTTACTGAAGGTCCAAACTTCCAAAACTGCCGCAACTCAAACCTGCCGCAACTCTGCTTGCCACTCCGTAACGGAAACTCCACCAACTTCCAACACTGCTGGCCTCTACACAAATCCAAACTACTGCGGTAACTCGCCGAAGCGAAATAAACAAACTTCACTCAACTCAAAAACTGCCCTGGGGGTCAATTTTTGAGCGCTCGCAAATGGGAAACGTATACGGCACAATACGAATAGTAGTTTGTTTCAAATTTTGACAGCACGTTTCTTTGCGCGCTCTTAAAATATCCTTCGCTTTTTGCGAGCGGTAGATAGCTGGCGTAATTTGATATTCGAATGCGTTTTGCTCTTAGACCATATAGTACATGGACTGCTAATTGCAACTAAAATGTGGTCAAGGACATTGCCTGGGTATGTGCGTTTCAGGGTAAACGAGTCTGTCCGAAATTGTCCGATTAGACACGATTTGAGACTATCAACCTATAAATTAGCAAACTTCAATTAATTAACCGCCTAGATATGCCAAAAAAGCAAACTTGTTCTTATTTGTGGACGTATAGAAGATAATCAAGAGTATTTAAAGCTTCCCGTACTACACGGTTACCATAAAAGCTACTCTTTACGCGACCCGAGTGGTGTTCATACGACTTTAGCCCTGAGATTCACATACCCACGACTACAGTGCCCTCTATCCGTGACCACCCATTTTGTATTGAAAGCATAGGGCTAATAGCAGTCCATGTACTATATGGTCTAAGGTTTTGCTTTGAATATAAAGTATAGTGACCAGTTGATCGTCAATTTTAAAAATTTTATCGAAAATAGAAGAATTGATAAACGTTTTGGCCATTCAAGATTTTAGATTTTTTACGTAATTTGGTTTTCCGGGAACTATAGGGTGCATAGACTGCACGCATGTGCCCATTTTTCCTCCGAAAATTGAGGATCCGGAGCATCCTGAATATTTATATATAAACCGAAATGGTTACCACTCTATTAATGTGCAGTCGGTAAGTTTAAAGAATGGAAGATGAGTGGATAACGTTACAAAAATGTTGTTAGATATGTGACAGCAGCCTCAACATTCTAAATGTGAACGCAAGGTATCCGGGAAGTAGGTACTAACGATGCATATAGATATACCTATATCAGAAAAAACTCGTTGTTGATCCATTCTCTAAATGGGGTGATGAACCATATAGGAAATAGACGACTCAATTCCTCAAAGGGGAAGGTTTTGAGGAATTGAGTTTTCCTATTTATGGAATCAATCAAATGTCAATGGTCTTATGCAGCAATTACATCGATTAGTATTGGGTGTGTGACACATTTATTAATAAATGTAGTTCCTTACACTTTGGGGAAATACTTATTCTTTACAGGAGATTCGGGATATCCCCTTCGCTCTTGGTTGTTAACACCTTTTAATAATGTGGAACCAAACACTCCAGAAAGCCGTTACAATAATCTCCACAAAACAACAAAGGCAACAATAGAGATGTAATGGTTTGTTAAAGAAGCAATTTCGTTTTTTATTAAAGCATCGATTTCTTCATTATACCTACCTATACTCCAGTCGACGCGCCGCTTCGCTCTAGTGAGCGGTACCCTTTATTTTTCACATATTCCACCAGCATAGTTTTTTGCTTTTCGGAATCATTTGCACCTCTCTTTTTTAAACTGTCCATTATAATAACGAGGTACAATTATATACACCTCTTTAACCATAGAACAGATGGAATGAGAATAAATACGAAATTAGATTTAATTTTGCGAAATGTCAATTTTAATTCAGGTGTTGTCAAATCTATCAATCGCATCTTTACGATGATCGTAAGTAAAGTTGCGAATAATAGAAACTGTCACTCAAAAATTGATTGTTTTCTTGACATTCGTAACTACGTACACGTAACTTTGCGTATTCGCAAAAAAACGATCGCATCTCAAAAATTGACCCCCTGACTGGCAACAAACTGACGATAAAAACTTCAAAACTCCCAAAACAAACTTTAAACTTCAACAAAATGTGGATCTGCTCTTAACTCACAAGACGCTGATTTCAAAACAAAGAAACGTAGTTCTGAGTTGACTCTGGCAAAAAGCCTTTCCTCTTCTCAGTCCGTTTTATTTAAGGTGGAAACCCTTCTTCCAAAATTACAAATTCAAACAGCCAATGATAAGCAGTTGCCAACAGAAAATTTCCCCACTAACGTAAGTTAAACTAGAGGTAGAAATTATTTTTATAATCAAATTTTAACCGACATTAAGAGATAACACAAAGCTTAAAATTCTAGGAAAAACAGAATTTTCTATCTTTTAAATACAATGAAAAGGCGATAAATAACATCCACATGTCAATTAAATTACGCGTTTACAATGATAACAGAGTAAAAGTGATATAAAATTCTCAGAACTCTACGTTAAATAAAATCAAAAATGAGATTACGACTGCAAACCTTGACCTCTTTTTCGTAACAATACTTTCTGTTGAAGTACTTATCGAACGATACAAAACAAAAATTTAAATTATGAAAATTAATTACATTGAAACCGCCCTTGTCCATTCTAGTTAAGAATCCCAAAATTTCGTCCTGCCAGACGAAATATCACAGCAATACATACTTACGTACGTACACACAGACGGAGAAAATTTTTATTCTTTGAAAGTTGCTGATCTAAAATGTCGACATTTGATGAAATTTTGACATGTCCAAAAAACAGCGATCGCAATAGCCACCTAGTTTAAGCGATCAAAAAATAAAAAAAAATATCGATGTTGGCACTACAGTAATAAGTAGGAGTACAATTTGAAAAGTTGAATTACTCATTAACGTGACTAACACAAAACTTTAAGTTAGCAGCACAAATTAGCACAAAATTATAGTGAAAGAACATTTTGAAAATATCAATGCTAACCCTAGAGCGTGAAGTTGGAGTGGCATCAAGAAAAAGTTGCATTACTCATTAACCTGTTGAGCACAAAATTTTACACTAGCAGCACAAATTAGCACAAAATGAGTACAAAATTATGAGATACTTTCAAGTTGACTTCACGGACCCAGGAGTTTTGTTTTGTATTTACGGTTCAGATTACAAGAAAAATTTGCAATAAGAATTCACCTAGAAAGGTTTGGACATATTAAGCTAGCCCTCGAAAAATGAATAATCAATTTAATTACTGAAGCTGCAGCTTCCCGTAGAAATTTTTAATTTTAAGTTCAGAAGAAAAAATAATACAACCCCTTTTGCTTGAAGTAAGAAATCTGAGGGTAGAATTCATAGACAATACTTAAGTTAGACTTACACTTTACTCAGTGCACACTTAGGTTAGTTTAAGTGGAACTTATAGTATCTGTCCGAATTTCGCGCGTTACTATAGAAATAATGTCATGCGTCACCTTAAGTACATCTTTGAATACCACTGAGTACGCGCTAAGTATGAGTAATGTGTAAGTGTAACTTGTAATATCTATTAATTCCACCCTTGTATAATTTATACAATAATACTTCAGTGGTACTGGAACATTTCAGCACAAAACGTCAAAATCATACTTGAAAAAGGAAGATAGTGACACATAAAGAAAGTGGTGACCGAGACATTACCACAATGTAATTTTTTTAATTTCTAAAAATACACTTCTTCCGCATCACCGAAATCAAAATCATGTTCTACAACAACAGATACGGAAGAATATAAATACGAGTATTTTAAACATTGTGATATGGGATGCAACTAGTGCAAGGTGCATAATATGATAATAGCAACGTTTGTTTTGCAGAGTGTAACGATACTTTTAAGAAAGAGCAAATCGAAGAGAACATTCCAAGGAAAGGTATTCAATAATTTTCCACATTATCAAAGGATATGATTCGGCAACGATTATTTACAAAATGTTCCACTTCAAACCCAATTTGTTAAAGTAATTGAAATTCTACAGTGATCGAGGCTACCTAGGTATTTTTAGAATTCATTTGTAACAAAATTTTAAGGTAATAATTCATATTCATGTAAATGACATATCTCTTACCTGCACAGCAACGCAACAACACAAATTAATACAATGCTTATTGCTTTGTGATCCACCAAGTTTGAAGTTATCGCCACGCTCGGATAATCTCGGGAGAATACGTAAGTTAAAAGGTCGTTAATTATTAATCTCCATAATCAGATTGCTGCTATCTACCATGTGCTATATTAAGTCAATCAAGGACAACAACAGTTTTCAGGGAAGCCAGTGATTGTCTTTTAATATTATTTTTGTACACTTCAGCAAAATAGTAAATTTTCAGCACAGCGGTTAATTTAACGATTGCTGAGAATGTGTACAGTGTGTCTCAACTAAAATAAGCACTTCCGGCACACGTCAAATTGGTATTAGAACAGGACTTAATTTCACTTCACCTATAAGGAAGTGACTTGAAGGCCAGGTCAAATTTACCTATATAGGGTTGTCGATTTTAGTCTACCTACATCATCACATAACCTGACAATCAGCATGTAACAAAACCAGTCTTATTGACAAATAGATAAAAGTAATATTGCTCAATGTTTTTTTTTTATTCCGGTTATCAAACACGATTAAGCAACTTGCCTTTTTTAAATTCTTAAGTACATTGCACATTACGTCATATGATATGTCCACGCTAATTAGTAACTAATATGCAGTGTGGGAAGGTCGTTTTTTCAGTTTTGTATTGACACACCCAGGACTGAACCGTACGACAATGTTACAGCGGCAATTCAGTTGCCTGACACAATTCAGCATTCAGAATCAAAGTTAATCTGGAGAGCTTGAACTATCGTGGTAGAATCGGCCCATACTAATTGTACGATACTAAACTGGTTATAGCTTATTAACTCGTTTTAAAAATGTTTTGGGCTTTCTGTATCATTTGGACGCGATGTATTTTAAAAAATAGAAGTTGTGTTTTGTTTATAAGTTTTTATTTGTAATCTATATTGGCCCGTATGAATAAAAGTAAGCAAATGCTTATACTTGAAAAATTCAAAGTAAATACTCGTAACTGCCCCTTCATGCTGGTCTGTTTAGCATGGTTTAGCAGCGCTGCTAAGTCGCCCAGTGCGAAGGAGCACTTACGAGTATTTACTTTGAATTTTGCAAGTATAAGCATTTGCTTACTTTTATTCATACGGGCCATTGCCTAATAATCCCTACCCACATTATTAAGAATAATATATACAAAACCGATGACATCATAAAAATTGAATGGAAATGAAAGAAATTCATAGTACCTAATAGAGAGATCAGCCACGGCATAATTGTCCTAGGTAGACGTTGAACATTATAACAGTAGCTACGTTGAGCTTATTTATACCTATACGTGATCTTGCTTTTAGATGTTTTTGCAATGTGGGGGACGTAAGTAATAATCAAATTAATGGCTCTTAATGAAACGGGTAATATCAAGAGCAAATAATAGAATTATATGTCAGCATTGGTACTCTACGTCTTTTCCTTTTGTGGCCCCAAATGGAGAACCGCATACGCAACTGATCGATACTGGGTTGCTAAAAACGCCAGATATTATTCCCAAAATCCTCTCGAGCTATTCCCACAGATAGAAATTTGTGTCAAACTCAAGATACCAGTATTGTCAAATTATATCGTTTGATATTAGAGGGACTTTAGTTATTGGTGGAAGAGGCAAAATTTAGCATTTCACTAAACCAAAACCCTATACACAGGAGAAGAGATTTCTGATTTCTGATCCCATAATTCTGATTAGTTTACTGGTGTTAGGTTGATAGTGCCTTTGTGCCTATTATCCCTTTACCTGTATCATGGTGTAAAAGATATACCAGAAAGAAAAACCGAAATTTGCTGATTTCGTTTTTTTTGTGGTGGTATTTGAATAGATACAAGAAAATTTACACTTTCTCATTGCCACTGTTTGAGCTCTACAAGACAGCGTTGAGAAATTTCCGATACAACGTTTCGTTTCGGAGAAATCATCATCAACTTTATTTTTTAAAAATAACTTCTATATCTTTGAAGAGATGATCAAATTATTAATTGCAAACTAATTATAACGATAACTCCCATTAATTACTCGGTTCGGAGAGTGATAAAAAAACATGTGATGATCATCGTCATTAAAAGTGGATGGAAATGGAATATTTTCGCTACCGGAATTTTTAACTCGAACCAATACAAACACTCAGTATAGCTTATACGAAAGAAGAAAATTAAAATTGCAACCTTGAAACAAATCACATGTAACACCCTACCCTAACGTAGCACCCGTGGTGGCACCTAACGGCCAACATACCTCAAACCAATAAGAAGGTTATCCGTAGAACAATGAAATTAGCGCAACAACGGACTGAAATCAGTTCGAACCTCCAGTAGCAGAACTTAAAAGAATCACGGGTTTAGCCAATAACATCAGTCAACTTACAGATTAAATGATTAATAGAAAAAAAATATCCTCCTAAGCCCGCTCCCAAATTATATCAAACTATACACAACGACATGAATTCCGCACTTGGGCTCAACGTGCCAAACTAAAGCACACTGGTTTTAGAATGATGCCCGGAAAGGGAAATGGGAAAGGAATACGCCTTGCGGATTGCGCGGTAAGTCTCACCTAGAATGCCAGAAAATCTCAAACAATAAATTACGGTGACCGTAAACATAGAGTAAAGCAAAAACAACTAATATGTAATTACAAAAATAAACTGTTACAAGGTCACGTCAAATTGTAGGTGCCGATACTTCATCAGTGAAGAATCTATAAAAGCGAAGGTCTCATATTTCTTTTTTTATTTAAGAGTGGATATTTTTAATTCAATTAAAATTCACGTAACGGCTACAACTATGGCACATTTTTCAATTTTACAAAAATAGAGCGGGATTCCGCAAATACCGGGATCTGATAGGATCAAACGCTGTCAATTTCTATCACAGACAAGTGGATTTATTACCGAAAATTATTCGCGCCCCGAAGTCAGCGTTTCTCAAACTGTGGGGGAATTTATGGAGTTTTTAGTGTCAAATTTTGAACCTACATTTTTCTCAAGACAACAGAAGAAAAAGTATCGGAATTGTATACTCAAGTTTCCTAAATGCCCCTCCATAGTTTTTAACATTAAAGCTTTGCGACTCTCTTCTAGTGGAAAATCCTGGATACTACCACAATAGCACAAAAAATATGCAAAACATATCAAAGCCGTTAATTTAATTTGTTATAATTTTGTGCGTGCATAATTTCACTTTCTCTACGAAAAGATCTTTTCACTCAAATCAAATATATTTAATATATTAATATATATAATAATAGTTCTGCCTCTCTGGCTGAAGATTAAGTGCATAAAAGTAGCCGAAGAGGCGGATAAATGGGGGGACTAAGATATTGTGTCGAATATAAACCATCACTATAAAAAGTTGTTTTTATGATAATCTCAGATCAGTACCACTCTCTATAAGTTTGCTGTAAAAAGTATCCAGAGACGTGACCAGAACGGGAAAGAGGCAAATAGAAATTTTTTGTGGTAGAAACGTTTAATATAGAGCTTAGTTAAATGATGTTTTAAAAATTCGGAAAGTCAGATCAGTTCCGGAGATAATCTAGAAAAACCGAAATTACTCATATTCGTTTTTATTTTTCTTTGCTCTGTTTGAAAAGGTATCAAGAAACAAATAACACTTCCCGGGCGCGATCGCTTCCCGGTTAAGCTCTACAAAATGGTGCAGGGTGTGTAAACCGGACTTTCTTATAGTCTACTTTGTGTAAGAACGACATTTTATAGTAGTTCTTGTGAAAAGTAAAATGTCAAGTCAACCCCTATTTAATAAATATGACCAGCTGACTGGTCAAGTCGCGAGATTCTGCAGAGATGAGTGCAAGGGTCTTAAGGGATCGTGTTAAGGTAGTGGTGGTAAGGTAGCGCGCTCTGGTCATGATCGTAAGGGATGCTAAGTAAAGCAGTGAGGAGACCAATGAGTGGCATAGAGCGACGGTGGTTGATCTATTGACCGAGGGTCCTAGTTAGAAGACCGAAGCGGGATGTGTATCCTAAATAAATTAATCAAATATAATATAGCAAACGAGCTCCTGGATATGGCTAGAGCATGTGCAAAACCAAATTTTAAACCTGATGTTAGTTTTGCTTTTATTTAAAGTGTATATGTATGAAATTTCATTTAATTGCTTCCATCATAAATAAGAAAGTTAGCACTGCAGGTCCTACACAAAACCAAATTTGGAAAATTGCGTTACATTTGCTTTTATTCCTTGAATCAAATTTCATTTGGATGCCTCCATAAATAAGAAAGTTGGCACTGCGCATAAACAAAACCAAATTTTGAAACTGGGGTTAATTTTACTTTTATTCCAAGAGGCTATGTATCAAATTTCATTTAATATTTTCATAAATCAGAAAGTTTGCAATTCGGTCTGTAAATGATCGAGATGCGCAAAGGGCACTGTGAATGCTGATCGATTAGGCTCAACTTTTGGAATTGTGTTTTATATGGCTAAAGCTATGCGCATATTGAATTTCATGCAATTCGGTTCATATCTAACGGAGATGTCAAAAGGGCCTACTTTATTTTTTGAGCTACATTGCCAATTCAAGAACTCCGATCTAAAAATTTGCTAAAAAATCCATCTGCAAAATTTCATCGTAATCGGTCCATTTGTTTTTGAGTGATCGTGCTAACTAACGGACGGACGGACGGACGGGCGAGTGGACGGAAGGACGGACGGACGGACACCGCAAAATTATAAACTCGCTAAGAGCTCGTTAATAATACACGTGCGCGCGCGTGTAACCCTTTAGGATGCATCTCCAACGAAGCATTCAACCCCAATCACCAATCAGAGTCTTCAGAGGTCCAGAAGCGCTCAGGACCAGCTCGGGGCTGACTCTCGCCGGTGAGTTACCTAATTCATTGTCGATGATCGCGGTTAATCAGTTGCGACGGTTGTTTACATGACCCTCGAGAGTCCTCAGACTGAATGCTGCCATGCCACCCTTTATGATCGTTCGCGTAGATTACAGAGGGACGTTTCTAATGAACGGTGAGTTTACAGTAAATTTGTCGCATCTTAATAATAAGTTCTGACCAACAATTAACACCATTTAATTAGCTACTTCTCTTCTTGTTAAAAATATCAACCTTTCCACTCCCCCCTCCCCCCTTAATTTGTTTGTTAGAATTTTTTAATTAATTTGATTTCTTTTTTAGAATGAATGTTGCCTGTGGTGGTAATTATGATAAATTTTGTTGATCCGTACCCAAAGTTTATTTCAGATGTATTCAAAATTTGCGTAAGTGATCCTTTTGGAATTTATAGAATTTGATCGTAGCCATTATTTGCCGTAGAATTTGGACTTCGCATTGTCGCATTGTACGAGGATTCATATGTGTCCTGAGAAAATGTTAATAAGAGAGCTATAGGTAAAATAACAAGTTTTCCGTTGCACGTCATTACTGGAATAATTTCACATACCAACCTAAATACTTAAATGGGATTTCTTTATTCATTGATTGTTATAAGTTAAAAAAAGTTTATTTGAAATTATACGGTTGGTACAGAAATGCGACGTTGGCGTGACTCTGTACTATGCATTTAAGGTTATGTTGCTATCTGTCACCCATTCTGTCACCTTGCGTGTGCTTCGAATCGTCTAGTTTATCGTAGTTTCGTGCCTTTTTATCAAGCTTCTCAATTCCACAAACCAAACTGTTCTTTTCAGAACAACTTTTTGTCGTACTGTGAAGCCTTATTTATTACGATGACGAAGAATTTGGATAGCACTACTAAAAAAATGGTAGCGTCTTTAATTCTGAATTTTGAACAAGAGCGTGACCATGGAGGCCCCTTGTTACCTTTGCCGGCAGTAAGAGAGGTAACAAGAGCATAATTTTTACATTAGGTACCTATTCTACTAAGTAATTATCGTAGAGAGTGGCACAAGTTTTAAGTATCAGTATCTCCACGGTCAGTACCATATCAGCGGCAGTGAAGAAGAATGAAGTGTTGAAATCGCCTTCAAAGAATCGTCATCGCCTTAAGCCTGTGACAAATGTATCTAATTTAAACGTCGATGGTATTAGAAACACAATTTATAAAATGTACGAAAACAGTAAGTTGATCACACTTTGTTTCACAATTTGTATAATCAGAGTTGCAGAAGTGCATGTTACATTGGCATCTGTGCATGAACAGCTTCGTGAAAAAGTCATTTTTCATGGTTCATTGGCATCATTGCGAACAGTGCTAAAAGAAATTGAATTTACCTAAATGGAAACAAAACGAGCCCAGGCGAGGTCAAATGGAACTACCCCATGTGGCAAGTAAAAGAATTCGTTTTCTGCGCCAATACAAAGATTTCAAGGAAAAAGATTTGTACCAATTTGTTTTTCTTGATGAAACGTTGATATTCCAAAATGGCACTATACAACGCTCATGGCAAGATAGTAATGGAAGAAGTGTGAAAACTATCAAAACTGATGGAAAGCGGTTGGTTTATTATTAATAGCGGTAACAATAATTATACCAAAAAATATGTTACAGACAAATAATTCTGCATGCTGGAAATGAGAAAGGATTCATACCTTCAAGTGGTGATTATCACGGAGAAATGAAGCAGACGAATTTCTTACATTGGTTTCAAAATCAATTGCTTCCAAATTTAAGTGAACCGTCTGTCATTAATTTCCAGAATTAAACCAGAAAAAACATATTTTGTGGACCAATTAGCGGAACAATATGGTCATAAAGTGTTGCGCCTTCCACCCTACCGTTGTATTTTTAACCCTATAGATTTAATATGGGGTATAACAAAAACTTATTATAATAAACATATTGGCAGAGATGGGAGAACAGAGGCTGATTGTTTAAATATGTGGCAAGAAGCAATTAATGTCGTGACACCAGATATGTGGAAAAATTCAATCAAACACACTGAAGGTGAAATAATGAAATGGTATGAAAGAGAAAAAATGTTAGATATGCAAGATATACTGCCAATTATAATAAATTTAGGGGAAGATAGTGAGAGTGACACAGAAGATTCTTGTTAATTTGCAAATTAAGTAATTTGTACTTATTTACATTGTAAGATTATAAAATAATTACATAAAAGTGACTTATTACTGCAAAATACTATCCCCTGGCTTTGATGGTCAAGTATGACATGTAAATTGTGAAGCCTTTAAACCATGTAGAAAACTGAAAAGTATTAATGAATTTCTCGAAATTGCTGTCGGTACTTAACTTCCCAGTATGTAGGTACTTCAAAGTGTTAATCCTTACATTAAGATCCAACATTAAAAAGTCGATCGCCTGTAAGCAATTGATAATCGTTACATTCCTGTACACGTAAATATCTTGTACTTCATGACAACTGAATATAAAGTTAAGATTTGTAACCTATATAGGTTATCTGGTGGGTTTATTTTTGTATAATTTTCTTGTGTTAATGTTTATTTGATTCAAGTTTTGAAGATTGTAGGGATATATTAATTATGAGTAAGTACTGGGTGGGGTACTATAAAAAAACGTGTGGTTTTATGGCGGCAATTTAAAGGTAATTTAAGGCACGTAAAAGCGATTCTAAAATTGTTGATACTACATGCTTAGTAGGTCAAATGTGCAAGCAGTAGATACAATGATTTGAAAATAGTTCTATCGTATACTAAATGTTTGTCAACGCTGCATAAGAACGACGTCAGAAAATTAATGACGTGCAACGGAAAACTTATTATTTTACCTATAGCTAGGTTTAAGGTGTTTTGTGTATGGTTTATTTTGGCCGGGCCGGGCCAAGATCTACACACTGTAACCATTGTTTCTGGTTTTTAGCACCTCATGGAAAGGCTTCTGTATTTGTTGCCACTCTTAAAAAATAACAATAACATAAATCAATGTTTCCATGCAAAATCCTTGAAAATTACTGTAAAACGCCTTCTTTATTCGTCGAACTGATTAATTAGAAGATAGAGAAACCGACCGTTAGGCAACAATGTCATATATTAATTATTGATCATAGCCATAAACCCGTAACTACAGTGTCAGTAATGGTAGACATATTTTACATCCCATTGTACCCCTAGTAAAACTAAAAATGCCGTATACTGCATGACTTCCGTTTATATTCATGTAAAATGCATGCATTCGGTCGTAATCGCGCATATACACGAAACATAAAATATTTATTTTATATGCCCCGCAGTTTTTATGGATACTTTGAAGATTGAGTTAGGGTTACAATGAAAGCTTATTAAGATTGAAATTTTAAGCAGAACATAATAGAGCATTCGTTTGATTACAATAGCCCCGTATATACCGGGTAAAAACCGTTTTCTACCAAACTGTGTGTAGATGAAAAAGCTGAAAGGTTGTATTACATTACAGAGCCGGTCACGCAAATTCATTAAGGAAGAGAAATCAGATCAACGTCTAACAATTAGTAGCCAAACAAAAAGGAGATACCTAGGTTTAATTATTAAACGCGGGTTCCCTTGTTTGTTTTTGTAATTACACGATGAAATTACGTTTTAAGGTTGTACGTTTGTGCGGATACTGCTTGTCCGCACCAATACATTTCACTATTTCAGTCTCATGTATTATGAATGATGTTTGGATTGTGTCTATCTAATCGTAACGCTTTTGCTAATACTGTCCGATCCTATTTACCATTTCTAGCAGATTTCGCCCTGTAGAACCCAAAAAAACTATGAACAAAAAGATCTGGCCACCAGAAACAAAGATAAAGGCATGAATTCGAAGAGCTTATAGCCCATTACTTTGTTTTTTATATCAAGCAAAGAAAAAAGTTTTCGCAGATCAAATTTTGACTTGTAGAATCCAAAAAATTAATAGACATTAAGAGTCTTCTGTACCCACTGCACCCAATTTAAATTTCCATAAGAGCGCCCGCCATAAAAACTCAAGTTGTTTTTTTAAAAAAAAACTTTTTTTAAGAACTATTTCATAAATTTAGACCTTTATCTACAAAATGTTCGGGCTACTTTTTTAAAAAAGTTTATAGCAACTGGAGTACCGATTGTTTAAAGATTAGGTGTTTTGCACCGATTATTGCGCTAATCTGTTTTATTTTGTTACTCTCGATCAAAACGGTTTATGGAGAAAGTAAACCGACAGTTTTCTAGATAAGTTACTTCTAAACATTACCCCAAAAAATGAAATCATATTTTTTGTATATAAAGTCTGTATCTTGGCGGGCGGTAAATCAACAATTTGAGTGTAGCAAGTAGCGCCGCCACAGATCTGTGGCGCCGCTGCACAGTGTCGGCGGGATCTAACTGAGGACCAAAATAGGAGTTGACTAAGCAAGAATATCATCTTGTTTCTTGCAACTATAATTTATAATCATCTATACACCATAATGTAAAAAAGTTGCGTTTAGGTAAAGAAGACTCTTAAGATTCAAACACAAAAAACAGAAATACATGCAACAATTGGAGCAGTATAGTATATGACGGAAAAAAGACGATTTCTAATAAATTTGGCCTCCAGAAACAGAGATAGAACCATCAATTCGAAGATAACCATCAATTTTCAATCACCAGAAACAGAGATAGAGCCAACAATATTAGAAGAGTAGGTATCTATATACCGCTAAGACCTGTTTGGCAAGCATAAAGGACGTCGTGTATCGACCGAACCGAATAAAATAAAGACTATTTATGTTTAAAATGATGCCTTCCAGAATGTTGCCATCTAGGACAAATGGGATTTTTGCCCTTATTGTAGCGCCGGCCCTGGGGGTTACGTTCATAAATAAATCTGTTAAAAAAAACTACGCGTTTGATTCAATAACGCATGGTATAAATTTTACGTTCTGTTAAATTCACAGTTTGATCAAGTGATCAGTTGATCAAGTGACGCAAACGAATATTCTTATATTATCATAAAATACTACCTTAAAATATCTAGGTACTTAATCGCATGGAATTTTAGAAATTGTTTGTTAAAATGTTAAATACGTGCAAAAGAGAGAAATAAAATTACTATGAGCAAAGCTAAAGTCCAGTTTTAGTTCACTTTACCTTTAGCTACACCGCATCTCGTTATATCACAAAGGAATTGCCTAACGATTTTAAGCAATTAAAATACCTTTGAAGTAAATTAATTAAATATTCATTGCATTAAGTACAACGTAAAAGTCAAGATTTAAAAGGATTTTTTTCTTTAATGAATTATAAGCTCTAATTTTCAACGGCAAAGAGTATTACACGTAAAGATAGTTTTATATTTTAATGATAAATTTGATTATTTTCCAGGCATTCTTTTATATTCCCTTGTATGTATATCTTAGGTTTAAATAGTATGCAAACTCTCAATAAAGTTAACTTAGTGCAAATTCAGCAAGACAAATAGTGTTTGTACCTGATCTGTGGAGGTGTGTTCACAATTTCCAAAGTCGTATAGTCGAGTTATATTTTTATTTTGAAAATAAGCAGCAAAGGTGGTAACAAGATACTAAGTGGGATTCAATGGTGTAGGATTTTGAAATGTTCACATAAGACATGCTATCTTCATATCGCGTCAGACTCAAATCAGTAAGCAAACAACAGACTTGGACTTGTACCTGGAGCATCAGGTTTGTAAATATTTGAAGTGATCGGTTTTGTCTGTGTGTTCAATACATATAAAGCACATACATGGTATCCTATATCTTCCACTTAAGTTTAACCCAGATATCTATTCGAAAATTGGTAAAAAAGAAAACTACCATGCTTATCGTAATTCGGAATATGCATCGTTTGCAATTGAGTACGGGGTGATCCAAAATGACTACCGGCAGTTTGAATTTGGCGCTTAAAATTTTAGTGTTTTTTTACTTAAGGTAGAGTAACAACAATCCGTTGGCGTCTGTTTTTTACAAGTGTTTTTATTTTCTTGTCTCTATACCACATACCTTGTATTTTAAAACAAACACTTCTTTTTAGAGCTTCTGCAAGTGAAAAATTTTGCAAAGGTACGTAAATAAGAGAAAACACTTTATAAGGATTATATAATCCCAGTTTTTAGTTAGAATCGAGAATGACTTTTACCCTAGAACATAATGCGTTCATATTAATGTCGCACTATTGTAGCGTAACACGTTTAGAAGAAGATACATGCTCATACACCTGCTTTCCTGCTTTCATCAATTTAACGAAGCAGGTCTTGACCACCACTTCAGTTGTTTCGTTAGTCATAAGCACCAAATTATCGAACGGTTTGGGAATAAGAAGTGTATTTGTAGGGCCAAACCAACAGACCGTCCATCAATTCGAAGTGTGGAAGCGATCGAAGATGTACGACAACGTATGGAGCGGATCCCTAAGAAATCCGACTTTGTTGTTCAATGATAGAGCGTTGGGCTATAACTCCGGAGGTCGGGTGTTCGAACCTGGATTGAGGTGAATTTTTCATCTGTGGCAGAGGATGGCAATTACCTTAGACCAGTTGCGAGCATTCAGCCGGCTACTCAGAATTAGGTTTTCCTGCAGTTTTTCTAATTCGTAAGGTAAATACCGGAGTAGTATAGAACAACTTAAAACCTTCTGCAGGGGCACCTCTAAAAAGCATTATGCGGGTCACTCTGTAATTGGGCACAAGCCTGTTGAGGGCCCAGAACAAGAGAGGGATAATAAATAAATCAATCAATCAACTAGCGATCTATCGAATCAAGCTGGTAAGTGTAACTTAATAGAAACGATAACGTCGATAACATCTTTATTTGTTATCGTTACAGGACGATACGATACATGCCACAGAACTTTGCACAAAGATCTCTAAATGTTTGCCTTTCGATTGTCAAACAACTGCATGCACGAGATTGCGAAAGTAGACGCAACTATTGCCGCTGGTTTAATAATCATTTAAACAATAACGAAGTTTTATGAGTGATGAAGCGTGGATCTATTTATCAGACTATGTGAATAGTCAAAACTATCGGACATGGGCAACGGAAAATCGCCATAATTTCGAAGAAACCATGTTGCATCCTTTGAAAATTGGTATGGTATGGGTCGGCATGTTAGGGCTAATTT